TCTTCTCATGTAAAATTGCTTGTATCATTTCCCTTTAGAAACATAGGAAAAATGGATATGGTCAATGGAAGACAGGAAAAATGAGAAACTTGATATTTTTTTTTTTTTTTTGTGTGTGGATGGTTGAAAGTTTTTATACTTGTGGTTATGGGACAAACTAATTTCAGTTGTATATGATGGATACCGCATGCCAACTTTTTCCATTGAAATTTGCTTTCCTCTTTTTGCATCAGAAATTTTTATTTCGTTAAGAAGACAATAGATTACCTTATTCAGATTTTATCAGTATTTTTTTATTAACATTCAGTATTCCTAACAGTTAATTCAAATTTTCATTTTATTATCTTTATTATCCTACATTATTTCATAAAAAAAAGGAAAAAAAAAAAAAAAAAACAGTCCAAAGACATCTGGCTCATGAATAAATGTTTTTAGACTCGAGTATAAAGCCCAAAAGAATTGCGCCATCCAATACAACCGGCAGAGCAGGGTGGTAAATTCCGACATCACGAATGGGTTAAGGTGTCGGCACTTAGTTTGCGGTGTCAACGCTCTGGTAATTTTCAGCGAGCTTCGCTCTTATTAGAAATTTTATATTCTTGTAAATACTCATTTAAGATCAGCTTTTAAGAGTCTTTGGGATGTTTTTGATTGCTATTTTTTATTTTTTTTTGGAGACTAAGTTAGAATTGACAGGATTTTATTAACAATATAACAAATCCAAAAAAGTAAATATTCTCAAATTGTATTTTGCTTTTTCTTGAATTTTATTTTTTGTTTTAATATGTTTTCTTGATTTATAAATATAATTTCATATTTTAATATTTTTATTATGAACTAATTTAGTTAACTAAAATTACAATATAACCTAATCGATTTAATAGAAATTTTTATAGTTTTTATGATTTTAAAATTACTATATTAGAATGAATATATAATATTATTCTTAATACTTTTTAATACTTAATTACCATTAAAATTAATCTGGAGAAAATAATTGAAACTATGAGGAAATTTTATACAATAACTTCAATCTTATATATCATAAATTGAAAGAAATATATAATTTGTGTAGTATTAATGATGAATATATTTGATTTTTTACATAAACTAGAAAATTTCGCAATAATTTCAAATGAGAAAAATACCTACCATTAAAAACATCATAAGCAGTGATTTTCATCCAGTTCAATGAAGATGCATCTACAAGAATATGGTTATTTCTATGGATATTTTTCTTAAGTATTTATTTTTATTAATATTTATCAATTTAGTTATTAAAAATAATTAATAATGTATAAAATAATAAATATTTATTAATTAACATATTAAAATTATTTTATATACAAATATTTTCAGACAATATAATTAACTATTTAAAAAATAAAAATTATAAA